TAAACAGGTTAGCTCGGGGAGGGCTAAACAGGTTAGCTGCACTTAGGCCGAATACGCTAAGTAGGTTTACGAGAGGCGGCACGATTAGCAAGTAGCTTGTGGAGCACCTAAATGGATAGCCCCTACTACAACCAGGTTGAGTATGATATAACCATGGATCACTACATTATAAACGGTCTATAACATACGTTATAAAAGCTTCTAAGAACCTACAACCCGCCCTCCTACTTAGTAAACAGGGCGGGCATTCAAGCACTCGAGCACCGGATCCCCATGACCGGCGCCGGCGACGAGGCTCGCTTGCGCAACTTTGCGAAGGTGGGGGGCGCATGAGACGGATCGAGGAGGCCCCGGCCGTCCTCGGCCCAAGCAGGGAACTCCTCGGGGGCCACGTGCAACTGCACCTTAAGATACTTCGCTTCCTCGGGCCTCGGCCACGTCGATCAATCCAGCGCGATGCCGAAGGGCCCATGACAACCAGCACAGCCTTGGTCTCCAAACCAAGCCCACGTCCATCGCCTCGACCCTGCGCGGCTTGACTCCCAGCTGCCGCGAGATCAGGGGCAAGTCTTCTTCCGCGTTCATCCCGGCGACGTTCTCGACGAGCCAGCGGGTCCGCCTCGCGCCGAAGGCCTGGTCGACAGCCTTGGTAGCGCGCGGCACCTCGAAGAACAAGCCGCTCTTGCTGCCAGCGAGGCCCTGCCTGGCCGCGCTGAGCCCGCCGAGGTAGGTGCAGGGCGAGCCGGCGGTCATCATGGCGATGCTGGCGGCCTCGGCGGCCGCGCGCGCGACCGTGGCCAGGTCCTCGGAGCTGAGCTCGGTGATGTCCCCGAGCTCGATCGCGCCCGGCCATCGCTGCCGCGCGCACCGCGTGGCTGCCTTGTCGATCACCGACGCCGCGTGCATCGCCACGCGGCACGGGCACCGCGACAGCGCCACCATGGCAGCGCCCACGCCGCCGAACAAGTCAAAGATTGCGACGGCGGGCAGCGGGCAGCCCTCTCGGATCAGCTCGGTCGGCATCCGGGCTACCACGGCACCCCTCGGGGTGAAGGCGAGCCCCTCTTCGCCCGCAGGCTTCGCTGCCACCGCCGCCCCGTGCTCGGTGAGCCCAGTCGCGAAGCGCAGGCCGCCGCCCTCCTCGCTCGCGTCGGCGGCCAGCACGACCGAGTCGAGGGACGCCCTGATGTCAGTGAGCGCCAGCGGCAGGAGGTTGATGGCGGACGGCAGCTCGGCGCGGGCCCCGCTCGGCAGCTTGCGCGAGAGCGCCCATGCGAACGCGGCGCCTCTCTGCAGGCAGCCTTCTTCTCCGCCCAAGGGGGGCCCTGCCCTGCGGTGGGCCTCCCGCTGTCTGAGCTGGAACTCTCCGACGGTGTTCTCGATGATATCGCTGCGACGCTCTCAGGGACGATCTCAGGGGCGTCAAAGTCGTCGAGGCAGTGCTGCGCCCAGGCCTGCCGCAGCGCCTTCGGGGCCAGCGGCAAAGGCCGGCCCCGCCTCCACTCGCTTGACTCGGGGAACTTCGCACCATGGTCTCCGTCTCCTATCCCGAGCCGCCTGTGGAGGTGCTGGAGGAGGCTGGCAGCGGATGGCCATCCCATCGGGATGACCGCGACGGCCATCCTGACCCACGCGAGGCCGGGCCGGCCGACTCGAGCGCCTGGGACCTGCTTGCGGACCGCCATGTACCCGCGCAGCGCAGCTGGCAGCCCACGCAGGTGGAACGCGCCCGACTGGTCGTCCGACGACCACAAGAGCGCCTGCCCCTCACCCAGGACGATACCTGTCCATGAGGAGCTCGGCGTCTAGCTGTCGAAGACCGTTTCGGCAATCCGCTGATACTCGTTCTGCCGAACCATGTTGATGATCAGCCAGGTGACCTGGGTAAAACCGCCCGCCGGGGCGCCCTTTTTGACGACGGCGACCGCCCCCGCAAGCGCCGGCACCCCGTCAACGCTGAAGATGTCCTCCTCATCGATCGGCTCGAAGATGCCCACGTTGACGAGGTGCCCACAGATGGCGTACCACGCCTCGTCGCTCATCACCTGGGCGGAGGTTTTCGGCACCTGGCTCGGCCACTCGGCAACCGGCTTGAGGAGCCACTCCTTGACATGGGGGGCGGCCAGGTCGACCGCCTTCACCGACCCCGCGAGGCCGGCGGCAGGCGGCCTGGGCAGAAGCTCGCCCAGCACCAGGGGGCACCATCTCTGAATCTCCTGCCCCTTGTGCGACATGCCCTTGCCCCTCGCGACCTGGCCCCAGTCGAGCTCCTCCAGCTTGGCGAGCGGCTGCCGGCTGAAGTGGGCCGCTGCCTCGTTGATCACCGCTAGCGCGGCGCGCTGCCCCTGGCTGGCGTCGCGCGGCCACGCCAAGGGCAGCCCGCCCGCTCGGCCAATGGCCTCGACGTTGAGCCCGCTGACGATGGCCCATGCGAGCCCCTCACAGCATCCTTTCATTGCGAGCTCAGTGTCCTGGTCGAGCGGCGAGCGCCCTGCCGCTCCTGCACATGTTCTCCACCTGCTGGAAGGGCCCCTGCGCCGGCGGGGGCAGCGGGGGGAGGTCTCTGCGACGTGCTCCCCGCGGATCTGGCTGAGCCTCACCAGTTAGGCGGAGGCAGGTCCCGAACTCACCCGGGTCCTGGCGGCAGGCGTCGACCAACGCCATCACGTACTCCACGCGGGTCTTGCTGCGGCTGCTCGCAGACGGCGCGCCTTCGCTGCTGGGCGCCCGGCCTGCGGGGGGCTGAGGTGTGGCCGCCCTACCGTGCTCCCTCGACTCTGGACTTCGCCTTCAGTTGGCCGATGCTGTTGGCGTAGGCCTTGTTGCTCTCGTTCCCCTGTCGAGGGTGCAGGGCTTCGGCTGCTTGTTGGGCTGGCCGCTGGGTGCTGCGGGCCGCTGGGGGCCCAGGTCCGTCGGTGCGTCCGCTGCCAGCGTCGCGCGGCGGACTGGCCTGGCATCGGCTGCCGGGGGCGGCGGGTGCGCCGGCGGGGCACTGGCGCCACCGGCCCCCGCCCACCTCGGCGAGCACGCCCGCCGCGCCCGCGACCGCGACCGCGGTGAGGAGCTGTCCTGCCAGCTCCGACTGCCGCTGCCACGCGCAGCGCCTCGCCCGGCGCGCTCGCACCCAAGGGCCTCGCCGGCGTCTCGAGGGGCGCGGGGGGCCCAGCCACCGCGGTGCGGGGCCGGCCCCCGCTTTGGCCTACAGGAGGGCGCGCCCCCCCGGACGACCTCTCCAGGCCGAGCCCCTAGAAAGAGGCCCTCTTCTGCTGGAGCTTCGCACGCAGCTCCTCGCGCTTCAGCTCGGCGCGTGCTGCGCGTCTGGCTGCCGCCTCTCCCCGCCGCGAGGCCGCGCAGGGCTCCGCGTCGACCGGCGCCAGCGCGAGCCACTGCGCAGCATGCCAGTCTCCGCCCTTGATGGCCATGGTCCTTCCCTTGAACTCCTGCATGACCACGTCGAGCGCCTGCACCGTCAGGCCCTCGAGCCCGAGGTCCAGCACTCGGGCCAGTGTCCCGAGCAGCCAGGCCCCCGCGGCCCCGACCGACTTCGGCGAGTGCTCCAGGAAGAACACGGTGTCAAGGAACGCCGCGCAGCAGGCGGGCAGGCCCCCCGTCGGCCCCCGGCCCGCGAACTGCCTCCGCAGCTGCTCCAGGACGCCCCGCAGCAACAGCCCAGGCTTGCGCGCCGCCAGCTCGATGAAGTGGTCGTGGCGGACCTTGGCCCCCCCGCTGTCGACCTCGCACTCGTTCTCTGAGTCCACGCCGAAGTCGCCGTCGGACTCGGGGATCGCCGGCCCTGCTCCGGCGCCCCAGCAGTCGGTCGCACAGCTGCCGCTCGAACAAGCCGCGGGCGCCGCGGTCGCGAGCAGGCTTGGCCGCCCCAGCGCGGTCGACCGCGCGGGCGGCCAAGAGGGGCTGAGCATCCTGGCTCCCCCTGGACACGAGAGGCTCCTCGGCGCGCCCCCTGAGCTCTCGGCCTCCGCGGACCTGCAGCAGCTCGGCCACCCGGCCGCCGTCTGCAGCGCCGCGCGCGAGACCACTGAGGGCCTCGTCCAGCAGGCCCCGCCCGCTGCCGACCTCGGCGCGCGCGGCGCCCCTCGACCGAGCAGGGGCCCCCGCGCGGGGACTGCGCCCCTCGCGCGCCGCAGGAGCCCGGGCGCGGCGACCTCCTGTGGGGCCGACCAGCGCCAGAGGGGCGAGGGCACCGCGACCCTGCTTCGGCGACAGGAGGACGTCGTCGTCGCCGGAGTTCACCTCGTCCCCCTTGCCGTCGTCGAGGAGATCGACAGCGGGCTGAAGGCCCCGAGCCGCCGCCGCCAGCCTCCGGGCCGGCCTGCGGGGGGCGCCCCCAAGCTTATGATAGTTGCCGCCCTTCAAAAGGGCTACCCATGGGAAACCCCCAAACTAGCTTCACGGATAGGGTTCAGACTAGGGTCTAACACTACCTACCATTTTTAGGTATCGTGACATAAGCGCCTCAAAGTACCTCCTCAAAAAATCAACTGTTTCCCAATATGATGTTTACGGATTTGGGGATTCCAAGTCTGACCACGCAGGGCCAGACGACCCCCGCGGCGACCTTAGGCACGATATCGGTAACCCACGCACTGCTACGATTGAGCGTTGCTTGCAGCCGTCGCCCTTCATATTCGCAACTGTCGCGTGCACACGCTTACACAGAGTCGCAAACCCTAGTCAATGCAAACTTGCATGTTGCGTTATGCTCACACCTCGTTTCTCTAGTAGGCCTTGTCCAAGGCCCTTGAAGCTAATAGTGTGACCAAGCCCGAGACCACCCATTTGTTTCTAACTACCTTAGCCCCCCCCCCCCCCCCCCAGTGAACGTAACGGCGTGTAAGAGGCGCGTGAAAATCCCAAAATACAAATCAAAGAGGCGTGTGAGTAATGCACTGCATGACTGATGATATCACTCGCACTCCTTCCTACAACAATCCACATCATAAAATCCAACCGAGGCTCGTGGGTCCCCCTCGGGATCCAGCTCAAGCCTTGAACGAGCAGAGCGACTTCGCCCAGCTCGCGACCTGCGGGTATAGATCGCCGTCGAGCTTCTGGTCGTTGATGGCCTTCCTGCAGGTGCCGATGACCCTCTTGAGCTTCGGAGTCACGGCGCCCGCCTCCTTGAACGCGCGCAGCATGAGAGCGGTGTACTTCGTCGCACTGGCATTGTTGATCACGCCTGTAGCCTCTGTGAGCAGCCCGCCGTCGACCTTGAACCCTGCCAAGGTACTCCACATTTTGAGATTGTCGACGGTCTTGACGGTCTCAGCGATGAGCATCTCGAACTGTTTGCTCTTGACCTTCAGCACCGTTTTTTCGGCTCGCTTCAGGGTCGTCTTCTCATCAGTCGTTGCGTCCAGACCAGTGCACCATGGCGTCTCCCAGTCGGCGCCCCCCTTAGCCTGCGGCTTGGGCTCATTGAGTCTGTTGCGCACGCGATCCGCAGCCCAAACTTTAGAGGCAATCTTGACGTCGCCCTCGATAACCAGGCAGAAACCGCACGTCGTCTTGAGGGCGGGGATCAGGTCGATGGTCGCCTCATGTGCGGACGCCTTCACCAAGTATGATTTGAATGCCGTGAAGGTGCTTGGGGACTCTGGGTGTTCGAGGCGCGGAATCATGTCGTCTCCGAGTTGGGCCCATTGGTTGCGGTTGGTCTCCAGGTGTGGCCAGAGCTCGAGCATGGAGATATCCGCCCTCAAATCTTGCTGGTCCTCACGCGGGAGCCACTCGGCCTCGCAGATCTTATTGAAGATGATTGCGTAGGGCTCTGCGTCAGCTGGGCTCGCGCAGGAGCACACGCACTCAAGCTTGACATCCTTGCACTTCTTCGCGCTCCCCCGATGGGCCTCGGAGCTCCTTCCACCAGCAGCCAGCGCGGAGCCCAGCATGGGGATGACGTTCTGGCGCCCCCTGGGATCGCCAAGCATGGTCGGGGTAAGCCGAAAGGCCAGCTCTGACATGCGTTGGGTCGCGTTGAACATGCTTAGCTCCGGCTCGTACTGGCTCAGGCTATCGGCTGCCTGCTCCCACACGTGCTTCTTCTTTGGCAGTCCGACCTTCGCATGCTCAAGCAGAGCATGTGCATCCGAAAGCATATGGTCTGGGCGGTCTTGTCAAGCTTCTCGAACGTCTTGTCCACGGTGAGGGTGTGCACGTAGGCTTCGCACTTCGCCCCCAAGCGACGCTCGAAATCGTCGAATGACCCTGGCCTGGCGTACTGTTCAAGCTTCGGCATCAAGTCAAGTGCTTTCGTCATCTTGCCGATGGCGAACTCCTCGGTCGGTCAGCCTCCATGCTGCCCTGGAGGCTGAGCATCTAGGGGATGCACTCTGACGTCTTCTGGTAGAAGCTCACGAACCCGCCCTTCAAGGCAGTGTAGAAGGTGGAACGCTTCAGTGCAAGATTCAACTGCTTAAAACAGACCGTCGGCGATTCAGATCCGCGCGCGCTTCCCAAGCGGACCGCCGCGTCGTAGCATGCTTTGCTCTGCTTGTCGCTGATGGAGACCAAGACTTTGCAGCAGCTGACCACATTGCCGATAAATTCATCGTGCGATTCATTTTCAGGGCAGTTCTCACCCAACCAATCCAAGACGTTTTTGGCGAAGGACTTAAAAGCACCTATCCCAGCGGCAACCTGCTTCACATGGTAGTTGAACATCTCGAACATGAAGCTGTCGGCAAGACTGAGCTTATCCATCCTGCTGCCGTCGAGTCCCATCGTTCTCAGGGCCCTCGGCTTAAAGGTTTCAACGAAAGTCTCGCCTGTCACGTCGCGGATGTCCCAGGGGGCGATGCTGTGGAAGATAGAGCTGGCGCTGTCACTGCCATTCGCCGTCGCGACCTGCATCGAGGTCGCCTTGTGACTCGTAATCTCGAGCTTGAACTTGCTGGGAACTCTGCGCCCTCGATGACCTTGAGGTTCGCCTCTAGCTTGTCCGACGGGATGCTCTTGAGCGGCTGCTCAACGATGGCGCCGATAGCCTCCGCGAGCGCCCAGTGCTTCTGCAGCTTCTCCAAATCATTGGTGTCCCTGATGTCGCCTTTGTCCATGATGGCGTCGTAGGCCTCCTTCGCCCAGCGGATCTGGCGCCTCATCGAGACGCCCGACCAACATTGGTGCAGGTCCACCGCCCTGATCTTCCGTTAGATCGTCTCTTGGTTCTCAGTCATTCCATCCTCGGCTGGAGGGGGCGTTCTACCGCGAGGCCTGGCACCTGGCGTCTTGCCAATTCGCCCCGTCGCGTCCCCGATCGAACTCCTGGGCGACCTCGCGCCAGATGGATTCAGCGCGGGGCCCGCCGCTGAGCTCGTTCATGTAGCAGACTTCCGAGGAGTCTCCAGCGCATCAGAAGTCCCGTCGGGCCGACTCTCCTCATCAGCCTGCTGCTTCTCCTTCAGCTCGTCTTGGGTGCGTCTGTACTGCTTCGTTTTGTCCCTGAGGCTGTCAAGAGTGTGCACGTCTGTGTTGACCCTCTTGATGATGTTGCCGAGCCTGGGGTCGCCGTCCTTGAGTGCCTCCAGGAGGCCGAAACCCTCTTCTCCCCCATGAGTGCCCCCCTGAGCATCGAAACGTCCGTGTTCTCCTCTTCCCCCTCCTCTTCCCCCTCCGTCCCTCGACGTCCGTCCGTCCGTCCGTCCGTCCGTCCGTCCGTCCGTCCGTCCTCCTCCTCCTCTTATCCACTGCCATCCGCCTCCGCCTTCTAAATTCCCCTCCTCGCTCCCCGATCCACCCAGCTCTCTTCTCATCCGCCTCCCACCTCGCCCCGCTTCCCTCTTCATCCCACCTCCCTCCTCCCTCCCCCCTCTCCCCGCCTTGCACCCATGCTCAAACGTGTTGTCCGCCTGGTCGGCATAGATCTGCTTCTCAGGGCCGAGCTTGGAGACCCCCTCGCGAATGGTGCACGCAGTACTCAAGTCCACCTCGACGTAGGGCCTCCGGGGGTTCGGGATGAGGATGCATTTGAAGGTGATGCCATTGTTATCTGGGATGCCCATCAGCTTCGCCCCGAACTTGTCTGGCACCTGGCCGTCGCACTCGGAGATGACCTGCTGGCGGGTCAGTGCGACCATGGGCTTCGTTATCTTGATGGCCCGGTCCTGCGCGTCGCGAACTTCTGTCGGGAACCACGGGGCGATGGCCGCCGAGCCAGCAGCCTCGCGCGTCGTAGCCTCCTCCTGGACTCCTGCCATTGTTGGCCAACGGTCTCGCCCCCCCCCCCCCCCCCCCCGGCACTTCGGCAACGCCCTCGACGGAGCCCAGGTGGGCGAAGCCTTCTCTGTGCCGATTCCAACACCGAGAACAAATGTCAAACGTGAACTCGCCCTCTGCTGCTAAGGACCGTTCGGCTTCGGCACAGTGCGCGCGTCCACGCACTGGCATCAGCACACTTAGCCTTCTTCAAGGCAGCTGCCGTGACCCCTTGGGATCCAGACGCACCAGACGAACCGGCGCCACTCTTCCCCTTGCTGGTGCCCTTCGGCGGCGCCACTCAGTGTGATCGCGTGTCTAGGGAATCGTTATGTGGAGATGCGGAGTGCGAGCCCGAGGCCTTCTGGCCCTGCCCCGATGTGGACATTGAAGCCAAATCTGCAATGGGCTGCACATGCAAAGAAATCGGCAGAGTAAAACAAGTGATTGGGAGGGTCACGGATGAGCAACCGATCTAACACCATCCTCAGGGGGATACCCCATCTTCTTCATATCACTATCGCCCTATCCGTCATGTTCTCCGTCTCCTCCTGAGTTCCGCTCCCTAACCTTATGTTGTCCTATCCTCCTCCTGTATTGCGATCGTCTTGTCCGACCCCCATGGCATCTTAGCTTTCGCCACCCCCTATCCCCCTATCCTCCTATCACCCTATACTCCTCGGTATCCTTATCCGACCCGAGCCTCCTCTCACCCTTCTCGTCTATCCTGCGCACACACGCCCCCGTGCCATCTTACCCACTTCACCTATAGCTATATCCTCACCGTACCATCCTCTACCTACTTATCACGCAGCATCCTCCCATCCTCCTAGCCCCCCATCCTCCTATGCGATCCTCCCATCAGGTCCCCCTGTCCGATTAGCATCCTCATCCTTATCCTCCACGTCCCGTCCTCGCGTTACCCTCCTCGCCCTGCTCCCCCCGCCCCCTCCACTTATCATCGTCGCCTCTCCACCTCCGACCCCCTTCCTTATCCGACCCGCCTCATTTTTCCCCCCCTACCCCCTGGGCCCCGCAATCCTCGGGTAGAAACCAGGCGCCGCCGCCGAAGCCCCGATTCTCTAATAGAGATCAGACTTCGGAGGGGGGTCGCACGAGGGGGGCGCAGGGATAAGGAGCATGAGGAACACGAGGAGGAGGATAGTCGGACACTGGGCGTGGAGGCGCAGGAGGATAGGAGGACGAGGGTACTCCTTGTTTGTCATCAACCGCATCCAACTCTTACCCCTCGTTTTCCTGCTAACACCCCTATGCTGTTTCATTTTTTTCATATCCCTTCTCCCCTCATTCCCATCCCCGTGATCATAACCGCCCGGCCCCCTCAAAATTTCCTTCTCGCCCTTCCCCATTACCAAGTATCCGCCTCTGTGTCCTCGCCTTCCTCCTCCGCCTGGTCCTCTTGCTCCTCCCTCCTAGTGCCCTCCTCGCCCTCCCCCATCCTCCTTCCCCCCCTCCCCCTCCTCCTCCTATCCTCGTGCAACGCTGCGCGGCGTGGCGCGCGAGGGGCGGGCGGGGCGCGCCTGGGGCGGCCCAGCAGGGCCGCGCCGCCCCCCGCCCAGCGGGCCGCGCCACCGCCAGCCAGAGAAACGCCGCAAAGAGGCAGCACTGACAGTAAACCCATTGCACGACGACGACGCGGATTATGACGACGAAGGGACAGAAGAAGGACAGCGGAAAGGGCATGAGGATAATTAAAAGGATGCCTAGGACTAAGAGAGGAGGGTGATTGGGACATGGGGCCATCAACGTTACAGTGGTGATAAAATTAAGACTGAGAGAAGGAAATCGAGCAAGGATAGTTAAGAGTGAGCGCGTGAGTGCGGGACAGAAATAAAGAGTGGATTAGAAAACAATGGGCGCGGAATTCGACAGAGGGGCCGGAGCAGAACATGCGGGAATGAGGACTGTCTAATTTATCATATGAGCCCCCACCCACTCATATCTGCACAACTGAAAAACAGGTAGCAAATACCACCGGCCACAAATACCGAAGCAGGTGCTCATATTGAACTCATCGCCGCCACGTCCGTCATCACCATCATCATCCTCATCTTCCTCCCAACCGTCATCCTTAGACTCGCGCCTATCACTATGACAATGCCATCGGACCTCCTCCACGCCCTCATGACCATCATGATGCCACCTACACCTAAGATCCCTCAAGTTTTGTCATCGTGGTCACAGTCATTGTGATTTTCATTATCGTGTTCGTACCACCCCGTCTTCATGTACCACCCTGCTTCGGTTGTCCCTCTACATAGCAAACGTTGCCCGCGGCATCGCTACTAATCAAACCCCGCAAAACTTGGGATGCGCCGTGGCCGAGCATACGGAAAGGGCGCCACGGCTGACGACTCTGCCGAGCTACAACGCTCGCCCCCCCCCCCCCCCCATCCTCAGCATCATCATCTACAGGCTCTGGTGGCTGCGCGTTGCTGGCGCCTGGCCCACCGCGCTCGGGGCGGAGAAGCCATTAGCGCCGTTTCGCACCGGGCTCGCATGCAACTTCCATTCGAGAAAACTGGCCGGCATCAGGCTGCATCGCCGACCCCGCACCAATCGAATCGCGCATCCTACCAGCCTCGGCAGGCGTCTGAAAGGCAAGCTCCGAGAGAGGCTGGAGAGAAGGCTCTGCGAGATCGGAAGCTGTGGCGGCTAAGTCTGCACGGGCTTCCGCTGTGCTATGCTTGAGAGGGCTGTCAACTACTTCGACAACCTCGGACTCCTGAGCTTCGCGTAAGCCTGTCTTACCTAGATGATTCGACGGGGGCGTGCTATCCGCGGCGCCACATGCTGACCCAGAAAAGGCGGACGATGGCAAATCCACGGCACACGGCCCCGCCCCTGAGGCCGCCACTTGTGGGGCAGCGCTTGTCGGCGGCTTCGGGTAGGGGCTGCGGGGCACATCGCACTGAACACTTGGCTTAAAACAGGTCTGATGCAACTGGGGCAACTGGGGCACTGCGGGGACAATGTCCTCATCAACAGACTCTGATGCGTCCTTCGCGTCAGCGCGCCAACCGCTCTCGAACGCCTCAACGGGTAAGCCCAGCCACTCGACGGATCCATCACGATTGCCTGATGTAGGAGACTGCAAAGAAGGGGGCCGAGGAGCCTCAACTGCTTTCTCATCCTCGGATTCTTCTCGCTCCGTTGGCGTCCTCGGTGGCTGGTTCCCTATAGCGAGCCAAGCGGCTGGAATGTGAACGTCTATGCGCTTCTTATCTGTCATGGGCTTAGTGGGATCCACCACCAACAAGATAAGTGCCCCCGTAAATTGAAATGTCATTGCGAAGAACACAAGAAGCAAAAAGTGCGCACGAACACGACCTGAGCCTGCGACTTGACCCTTTATGGCGGCTTGGCCGGACATGTCGCATGATGAGCAAATCGGTTGATGCATCGGCGTTGCCCATGTATCCCGAGCTTCACGCGCGCGCTAGATTCTCACCCAAAAGATATGCGTATGTAAGGGGCGTGCTACAGGCTTCATTTTGTAGTGTTACTACGCGCGCACGCCTGGCAATTACTAGGCGTTGTGCATTGAAGGCCGGCAATTGCCAAACATCGGGATGCACTTTTACTTACGACGTGCTACGCACTAGGCGCGGGACCCTACAAACATTGATCACACACGTGGGCGCTTCACCCCTCTAACTCGAAACCACAATGTACACCCGCAAACCCCAGCCCACTTCCGCGCGTTTGCACGCAGACGGCACGCGCATGAATCCACGCCCAACGACTCCGCCCGCTCCAGGTACCCGCATCCCCGCCCCACCCACCCCCGTCATCTTCAGCGTTCCCAGCCCGACGCCTCGAAACACATGTGAATGTGCGACCCCTGGGCCTACGTCAG